CTACAGTTCAGCTGACCCTGCGAGCATTCGCAGACTGCTCCAGTGGTGGGATGTAAAGAAAAATAGTAAGGACACAGTATTCATTTGTATGTAGACACAGATGAATGTTTTATTACTCTAAAATTTATTTATAATAAATGCCTCTCAGGTAATGGCTTATGATCAAGGATACTTCACTAACCAAACTTGATTGTTTGAAAGGAAAGGAAATTTTGATCCTAATGAGATTAAATTTAGAGTGGGCAGTCTGCTTCAAAGCAGAGATTAAGCCCTTGGGTTTTATCATAGACTGCAAATTTTCAGGACCTAGTCTTCCTTCAACTGAAGCCAGAGGCAAAATTCCTGTTGAAGCAAAAGCAGGCAAAGGAATGTGTGCTCCAGTTGATAAACATATATACTGGAAAGTTACTCATACTTAAATTATAAACTGTTCAGTGCAAGTTTCCATATATTTGGTGTCCATACTAGGATGGCAGTTGATCACAAGCTGTTCAAACATGTTCTGCTTCAGCTTCTCAAGAAAACCCTCTATATTTACTGTCCTAGGTCCAAATGAAAGCCAGTCAGTAAGAATTTTTTTTTTTTGATTGATTTTATTAGGCTGTGGATCTAAGCCTCCAGTTTCCAGGCAGTTTGTTAAAGATACAAGTTGATCTTTTTGACAATGTGCTCAGGCCTTCTATGGCAGTTGCGTGCAATGGAGAAATTTTCTGATTTTTGTGGCTTTGATGCTTTCTGGAGCTGACTTACCCTTCAGCCTAATGAAAGGAAGGAAAGTACTGAGAAAACTAGAATCTCTGCATTTAAAAGCAATGACTTTGGTGGAGCTTGGTAGTGATATTGAGAGTTGCCCTATTAGAAATATGGCTTAAAATCAAGGCATAAAAAATTGTCACTGCTTTTCTTCAGAACAGGGGAAAAGAAGATACAATATTTGTATTTTATGGTGCCATACCTGGTACAAGAGAAGACCTATGTGACAACACTAATATGACTTGCAAACAGAAGCAATTAAGAACATTTATGGGAGGAACAACTGTTCTGATGTAACTATTCTACCTCATATGTGCCAAACCCGTCCCATTCTTCCTCTTCTCCTGCTGCAAAATTACTTCATAAGTTGTAGAGAAGTATAGTCATTGGCTTTTGATGCAAATGTTTTTTGGCTGGTTACTACATAGCTCTTCTTTGTTGGTATTGATTTTGAAAGGCAAGGTAAATAATAGTTTTAAAAGTGATGATTTCCTCTTAATATTGGGATGGTCTTACTTTTGGATTTTTCTTGTTCCTTGCTGGTTCAATATTAATAGTTTCATAAGCTGTGATAAAGGTTGACTTCTGAGACCTGCTCTTAAACTCTGCTTGAGGGTGTAATATGAAAGATTTTTGCTACCAGGTCACAGGTCTGGAAGTATGAAGACTTCTCTACAGCTTACTGGCCTTCAGGCCTGGACTGTATACCTGCTTTTCCTATATACTGCACTTGTCAGACAAGTATACAGCTAGAAAGCATCACACTATCAAAAGATATATACACCAGGTGAGTCATGGTCAGAGGGGATCTAAATGCCTAAGATTTGTATAAGGTGTAAAATCTGAGGTGCCTTGGAACGTGAATCAGACACCCTGGGTACGGAGGCATTCTCTGCAGAGCCTGGGACCATGCCAGCACTTTGGGATAAAAATTCCCAATGAATGACCTGCAAGTTCAACAGGGAGCTGCTTTGTGCAGACACAGTCCATACACCTCCCTGATGTCCTCTGTGCGTGTAATCCCTGACTTGGAATCTCATCCTAGAGATAAGCTTTTGTAACCTTTCCCTCAAGGACAGAGAAAGGCATACTGCCGATGCACTTCTCTCAGTTCTAAAATATCCTATAAGTAAAGAATTCACTCAGGAAATGAGAGACAGATTTGGTGTCTTCCTTGGCCTTCTGGCAGTGAAGGATTCCAGTGCTCAGGCATATGTCCTAACCAATGCATGGCTGGAAGTTGCAGCCCTTACTAGAAGTTATCATGGTACAGAAAGTAATTTAAATTTCTTTAGAACAGCCAACAGTGTCCTGGCCTGTATCAGGAATAGTGTGGCCAGCAGGAGTAGGGAAGTGATTGTGCCCCTGTACTCGGCACTGGTGAGGCCGCACCTCAAATACTGTGTTCAGTTTTGGGCCCCTCACTACAAGAAGGATGTTGAGGTGCTGGAGCGTGTCCAGAGAAGGGCAACGAAGCTGGTGAGGGGGCTGGAGCACAAGTCGGATGAGGAGCGGCTGAGGGAACTGGGGTTGTTTAGGCTGGAGAAGAGGAGGCTGAGGGGAGACCTTATTGCTCTCTACAACTACCTGAAAGGGGGTTGTGGCGACGAGGGAGTTGGCCTCTTCTCCCAAGTAACTAGTGATAGGACAAGAGGGAATGGCCTCAAGTTGCACCAGGGGAGGTTTAGATTGGATATTAGGAAAAATTTCTTCACTGAGAGGGTGGTCAGGCATGGGAACAGGCTGCCCAGGGAGGTGGTGGAGTCGCCATCTCTGGAGGTGTTCAAGAAACATGTGGATGTGGCGCTTCGGGACATGGTTTAGGGGACATGGTGGCGCTGGACTAATGGTTGGACTTGATGATCTCGAAGGTCCTTTCCAACCTAGTGATTCTGTGATTCTGTGAAATTAATAGAATTTTGTAAATTTAGATTGCTCGGGGATCTCCACTGGGAAGGGTGAATTTTGGACTGTGCTAACTACTATTTAATGTAAAATTCAGAAACAGTTCTGGCAGTTGCAGTAAGTACCTAAACCACTAAGCTTAGACTCTTCTACTCTTCTTCTGTGTGAAGGAATCTTTTTTTTTTTTTTTTTTACGTGCAGTGGTACATCATCAGCAATGGGGTTGCAATCTGAGGTCCCCTGAGCCTTGTGAGTACTCTTCAGCAAAATAGCGCATGGAGGACGACAGAATGGTTTGGGGTTGGTAAGGAACCTTTTAAAGATCATCTAGTCCAGCTGCCCTACTACGATTTTTCATCATATAGGTTTTTTCATCAGCCTCACTAGAGAACAGAAGTGAGCTCCTTCAGGCCATGTTCTTGACTGCTAGTCCTAATACCTGCAGCAACGTTCCCAAATGATGGTAGCTGTAGGTCTGTTCACATTCTTTGTACTGCTTGGTCCAGCAGCATAAAACTGAACCCTTGCACACTGGCTTCTTAACCAAACCAGAACTTCAAATCATGTCTGCTTACCCGCTACCTGTTCTTCCTCCAAACTTATATTCTATTTACAGCACAGTCCACTTTCTTTCCACTCTGGCTGAGTATCTCACCAGGTCTCAATCCTTTTATCCATATCCCACCAATGTTTTTTCCAGGTCAAAACTGTGCTCACAAATGCTTGCTTCCACATAAACTTTGTATATTTAAAAACATATTTTCTGTACCCACCACTTCCTACCTCGGTGTAATCGGGCTGTATGAAGGGTGTAAGTAATGCGTCATCACCACTCCTGTGAAAGGGAAATATTTGGATGTTTAGCTCGGCAGCTTTCATCATAAAAAGACTTTTATATTACAGGATACTTAAAACAGCAGCAGTCCCAGTTTTCTTGCAATATATATTTCTATAAAAAGTTTATAAACTAAACAAATTAAACTTTTGCACAAAATTGGTATTGCATATGAATGTATACAGCAATAGTGGAATATTCTTATTTGGAAACACATAACAAAATTAAGGATAACAATTAATAGAAAAATACAAGGCATCTTTGCCATTCATGTTTAGTGTAATATGTAGCCAGTCATAAGTTATTAAAAGATGCACAACAAAAGCCTGATGAATACAACCCTTTCTGTGCTACTCCATAACTACTATGAATTTTACACTCAACAGCAGGGGAGGGCTGGAAAAAGAGAAGCCCTAGATTCATAAGGAAAGTGCTCTTTTATTTTCTACTATGTATTTTACTTGGAAAAAAAGCTTTATTTTCTAAAGAATACTTGATGTCTGTTACTCACTTCTGGAATAACTCTGTGAAATATTGCATCATTTTAACCACACTTATGTAGGTATAGAAATATCAACACATTACTAGGTATGTAATCAAATTAAAGCCTTTTTTCAAGAAAACTATTCTTTCATCTTCAGAGAACCTCACACATCTTTAAAGATGTTTTTACTAGCATTAAAAAGTTGTTATTCTGTGAGCTGCTGAATCCCACTTACATGTCTGCCTACTTTCTTCTTTTCTAACCATGTAATCTGATATAAATAAGTTTGATTTCAAGGTTTGAGACCCATTTTAATTTGAATGCTTTCAGTTCCCCATGTGTGGTCTAATTTAATCTCCTTGCCCAAGATTCCTGTCTCTAACTGTCTAACCAATAACAACTTTGTAAAATCAAGACAGTACAAGGCAGCAGACAGGAAAAAAAACCCTGTTTATCAGAAATAGCAGGAATATCACTGTTGACTTCTGTGGTAGAGGAAGCAGTAGTATCAGCTAATATATTAGGATCCAGATCCTCAAAAAGAACTACTGTGCCTTAAATACTTTTCAAAATCTGTGCCAAAAGAACTGAACAACATCGGTCCACAGAAATCTGTGGGTAGAAGTTAAATGTCTTTTGATGTAAACTTTGCCAACCAGGTGGCAGTATCATTCACAATAGCAAAACCTCAACTAGTAAAAATACTGTTTAGCTACAATCTGTCATAGCTTTTCTTAAACTGCCTGACAATAATGGATCTTGCATCTCTGAAGCCCTGGCAGTACTTCACACTATCAGGAGAACTCTTCGAAAAGATATAGAATGGTAAGCTACAGAAGGCTTACAGAAGATAGTACCATCTATTATTTTTAACTTATAAGAAAAGAAGACATCTAGCCAGTGACAGCAAAAATGTCAGAGCTGTATTGTTTCCTCTGCTGATATCCGATAGCCTTAAGTGCACAATATGCAGAGCTTTAAACTTGGGGATAACTATATACTTATTGAAAATAATAGCTGTTGGCCCAATCCTGCATTCCAGTTTTAAGCACAACTTCTAAGAAGCTCACAAGATTCCTTCACTGACTACAGAAACAAAAAGTAGCCCTTCTTCCCTTGCATTATGATAGTATATATATAAGAATAAAACCTCTGTACTTTAGAGGGACCATTTCAGTTTCATGATTTTTTAGTTTCAAAGTAGCAATATCCAACAGCAGATTTTTGCTTTATTGCTTGGAGTCCAAAAAATCTTTACAGATGCCTCTAATAATATCAGGAACCATCTGCTCCAATCCTGTGAACTCCCTAGTGAAGAAAGTATGAGATTCTCTTGGTTCAGAAGCCATGTCTTTCAGATCATCCAGAGGTGCCCAGGCAACACCGACAGAGAAGACTGTTATTCCTACAATGTAATAATACAGGAAGAAAAAAAAAAATAGTTAAGACCATTTTGCCTGTAGATACAAGAAAAACAGCTATTTCTACATCCATGAATTAATCTGGATTGTAAAACCATGTTTCAATGCCTGCAGTCTGTCAAAGATGATTAGATTTGCCACTAAATATCAGGAATTAGAAGATTTGTCTCTGTAAGAAGACTGAAGGAAATAGGGGGTATCTTAAGAGCTAGTGTCTTAGTTGGTTTTATGGTGACACATGTGAATGTAGCAGTTACGATGTCAGTCTTGAAACAAAAGTAACCCTGTGTAAAATTATTTTGAAAATAAATTGGGATCCTTTGTGTATGCTTAGTGCTTTCAAGCATCAGCAGCCCAATAAGCTTGTTGGCCAAAACTGCTCATTTCCTTCCTAGATGATGATGGAGTGCAGGAGTTATGCCATGATGGATGGCATCTTTTGTTGGAGCTTCACTATGTGGCTCTTTATTTTTAATCTACTAATTTCTCTCCTATTCAGGAAAATAAGACTGGGTGTACATTTTTAACTAAGCTGCCGTAAGTCCACTTACACTTGGCTCCACAGTGATGATTTTTCATCCTAATGGAAAACAATGACTTAGAGCTCACATTTTCCTGAATTTAAAACAGGTATGAATACTTGATTCACTCACTGGGGCTGTATTTACAAACTTTAAAATCTTGACATTTACAATACACATAAAGAGGATGAATTAACTTCCATTGCCTTTAAAAATAAGTAAGTCATTTACCTGCTTTTTGTGCAGCAGCAGCAGGTCCTCTAACATCATCATAAGACTGACCATCAGTCAAAACAACGAGGAAATTTTTGTTAGGTCCATCTTTCATTGGCCCAAACACATTTCTGGTTGTGAAAGAAATGGCATCACCAGTAGCAGTGCCACCACTCATGTAGCGAATGTTCCGGATAGCTGAGAGGACTTTTTCTTTTGTGGTGTGGTCTGTGAAGCTGAATTCTGTACGCTGATCGTATGTGAACTGCACAGCTGCAATCTTGGAACCAATGTCAGAGACCTCAAAAGCCTTTGCAACGTTGCTGATGAATTCAAGCACAAGGCGGAAGTTGCTGTCTCCAACACTGCTAGAACCATCTATCAAGAAACCAATGTTGACAGAGTTGTAGCACGTCTTACTACACAACATCTGCTCATGTGAACACAATTTTTGGACAAGAGGTTTCACGTATTTGGTAGTACCAAACCAAGTGGGCATTTGGTAAGAGAAGAAGCCGTTGTTTCGACAGACAGCCTGTTTGAAAACAAAAAGTCAACCAGTGAATACTGACACAGTGGCTGTATGGCTAATAATCAGATACCTGTGTGATATTCTTTCAAAGGCAGGTTAGAAATGGAGCCTGGGAGTTTGGGGGTGGGTTTTTTGCTTGTTTGTTTTTAAAGAAATTGAGGACAAACATCTGCAGTTGAAGTCAGTAAAAGCTATAACATAGCTTATTTTATCTAATAATAAAGTCAACTGTCTCCCTCAACCTCTGGAAATTTCAAATAATTTAATTTTGTTCATAAGAACTGAAACAACTGGAAATTACAATTACATTTTTTGAAAGTGAACTAAGTCATGCTACTGAATATCCAAAGTGTTGAAGGTTCTGTATTTTTGCTTCTCCACTGAAAACTAGTCTCTGTGTTTTCCCTTTGAACTTGGTAAGCCCTTTATTTTTTTTAGTCTATAATGTCATAAACACAGACATACAGCTGGGTAGAAATATAGCTCCAGGTAATTCAAAGTAAAATTTCTTTTTCCTCTGGCCTCCATAAGAAGCATGTAAAGTACAAAGTAATTTAGAAAGGGTTAAATTGAAAATCAGCTCTCCAAGGTGATAACTAATCCGAGTAAGTTCAAAATGCAGAAGGGGAGGGGAGGGCAGGCCTTGGTCACCTGGGGTCATGTCTTTCTGTGCCTATGAGTATGTAGGAGCTGGACCTGCCTGCAATACCACTGGGACCAGCAGCAAGATATCTTGGGCCTAGAAGCAGCAGAGCTGTAGCACTTCATTCTGTTCCTGCCCTGAGCTTTGAAATTTCTGCTGAAATTAGACATCTAAAACCTCCCTGTGGAAAATGAGAGGTTTTCTCACTGGAGAGTAAGTAAAGACCTAGTGCTTAGAGAGCTCCTGTGAGAGTAGGTGATATGTGTTTGAATTCCTACTCTAACTCATACAGGGCAAGATCCAAAACTTTTCATCCAAAATGAATGGCTTGCATGTGAACTTGTTAGGATGTGTTTTTTTAAAAACTTTTCTGTCCTGTTTGTAATGAAAGTCAGTCAATAATCATCCATAGAGCAGGTATGGATATGCCTCCCTGTTTGACATTTCAGGATAGAAGACAATCACAGCTGCATTCCATTGCCTATGACACATTTAACCATACCTAGGGTATGGTCCTCCTACTCTGAGAATCTTCATGTAATTACAAAGTCCAGGAGCTACAACTGGGCCAAGAGTCTGAACTGGGAGGATGGTGATAGCACTTTGGTACCCTTTGTGTAGCCCCTTTAGCAGGAAAACACACAGTGCTGCTTTAGGTTTCCCACTGTGATTCTTTTAATCACTTATCAGCAGGGATAGTTTCATTGGCTTTTTAGAGATACACATATTTTAAGAATTAGTTCATTAGGATTTTAGCATGAAGTAAATTCTCTAGAATCATATCCGTGACTGAAAAAGATATACTGATATTCTTCTCTCTTACTTTGTCAATGAAACCAATGTCTTGTACCATTCCCAGCTCTTCTGTTGTGGGTTTTGCTACAGATACTATGAATACATTGACTCCAAATTCTCTGGCCACTATGCCAGCTTCTTCTATATCATCTGAGGGCCAGCCATCCAGGAACACTACAACGATCTTGGGAATTCCTTTGCGTGCTCCATTTTCCAAAGAGAAGAATTTCTGAGCTGTGTGCTTCAAAGCTTTCCCTAGTTTTGAACAGGAAAATAATATGAAGAAATGCGATTACATTTTGGTACCAGTAGCCTGTATGAAATTGTGCTGGATTTCTGTTATGATAACAGGTCTCAACCAGTGTGAAGGCAAAATAGTGTCGCAGGAAATTTGATAATAACGAAGCTTGAGCAACCTATAAATTAAAAAACAACAACACAACAACAATCCTCCAAAAACCCAAAACCACACCACCCAACAAAAAAATCACACAGGTAAAGCTGACAGTTTTTCACCTACAGGTCTAGTTTTGTACTAGGAAGTAGATATATTAGTGCCTGCCAAGTGGATTGGAAGGAAGAAAGTTAAGGAGCTACCTAAATTTTAGCTTGTGAAATGCAATGTATTTGGAGCACCGTTTTCTCATTTGGCAAACATCTCTTCACAATCACTTACTACTTATTCTGAGTTTATTTTAGCTCTTTAATTAGCCACTCAACAAGAAAGAAACACTAAGCCTTTTAGATATGAATTTATCTCAAGATACCACTCTGTTACTAGTGAAAAGTCGATTATTGTTTGAACACAGGAACTGATATTTGCAATTCTACTCTAATGACATGTGTAATGAGCAACTCTAACTTCTGGAAATGAAATGTAAGATGTGGGAATGTTCTAGTGGAAAAATGTTGAACCTGACTAAAATGAGCATGGCATTTAAAACACTTGCTTACCTAACTGAATTATAAGAACTTCAGTAGATATACACACACACACATATATATACAAAAAATATATATAAGTATGTAAAGAAGTCACTTCTATTTGCACAGAAGTATGAACACACCTGTATTAGAATTGCCTCCTCTGAACCCTAATTCCTTTATTGCAAACAAAACTTCTTTCGCAGCAGTGAAGTTTTTCAGATAAAATTCAATTTTTGGATGTTCACTGTGGAAAAATAAAACAGTAATAAAGTATACAGTTCACTTTTCATACTGCTATGGCATTAGCAAGCTAAAATACAATTTGAATAATTTTGTTCATGGTCATATACACTTTTCTATATTTTTAATGACTAAAATAGAAGTATGCTCCTTGCTTAATAATTCTCACATCCCTTAGCAAGAGGAATTATTTGCCTGTGTGGATAAATTAAGAACAGGCTGATTCTTCGGTTTATCAAGCAGCTGAAAATATTAGGTTGAAAATATATAGAGAAAGAAATTTAATATGCCAGGTGTTAAACTAAATGTATTTGTGTAATTGAAAATTGGCAGCTTTTCTAGTATTTGTATGAGAAATACCTTCTTTATAAAAAATACCTGTGAAATACAGTTTGAGTTATTTAATTTGAGAAGTTAAGGTACATTAGCTACTGACTCCTTTTAAGAAATAAAAGATTTTAGCTACACTGCTACACTAAGTTTCCAGATTTAACTTTTGATTTACAGTAGGAAACAAAAAGGAATGAAGTTTTTTTTGCCATGTGAAGAGTAGAAAGATAAACACCTGCAGGTCAAAGAGCTACTGCTATGAATAAATGGCCTGATCCTGCATCAGAATCACTGGAATGAACCCCTGTGCCAAGCAGAATTGGTCTGCTGCACTGATTCTCATGGCAGAATAACTGTTGAAATGGTAAATTTTGAGATATAAATATTATTGCTTGTAAGATTAATTTCTAATGAAGAGAAGTTGAATGTTCAAGGTGCTAAACTGATTAGTATGTTTCTCCAGGAATTGTTCCTCACCTTACAGTATTCAAAGCCAGGACAGCATGAGTTGGGTTCATTTCCCCCCGCTTTAGATGTCTACAATGGACAGAAACTGGATTTTTCAGGATGGAATTAATCACATTCTAAAAGAGGCATCCAGAGTGGTTCAGATGGTTTGTGCTGTGAACATAGTCTAGTGACTGTAAAGCAAGCCTAGGTCATTCAATCAGATGCAGACATCTACTCTGCAGTTGTCTAAAGGAAGGGGAGTGGAACAAACTTTAATGGTGAAAGATGCAATAGAGAAACCCTGTGTTAATTGAACAGATGTTTCAGCTTCTTGGAATAAGAGAGTTAAAGGCTTCTTTGTGTTTCCTTTATTCCAGAAGCAATAAGCCAAAGTCGTATAGCCTTGGAAAACTGCTACTGCTGAGCACTAGCAAACTGAGCTGTGGGTCCAGAAAGTCTTTTACCAACATGTTGGATGTTGCAGTGGCTTTCAGACTGTTTTGTAGCCTGCAAACACACATAGTAGTATGAACATTCTTAAAATAATAAAGCCACCATTTCCAATTTGAAATATTAGCTGTAGCAACCTCTAAGTTGGCAAAAGCAAGGTTTTCTTTTTTGTACATGTAAGTAGTCATTTGTGACAATTCTCTCTACATTTTTTTTTTAAAAGGCATCTCCTTTGCAGACTCCTTTCTGCTGTTTTAAGAAGATGAGCTACAAAACTGTCAGCAGCAGACAGGCTGCAGAAAGTCCATCTGCTCTCTCTATCCAAATATCAAGTATCACAGAGGCAGAACATGATAAAATTTTTCACATCTTCTCACATGGACATCTCTATATAGCACAGAGCAAACAGTGCTACAGCTGGAAAGAGTTTGCTTTCTCTTGCTATTCATTTACCATTATTGAGTGAATACCATTCTGCAGAATAGGGAGTGATATGTTAATTCATTTCTCTTATTAATCACTCAGTTTTATTTTGTATAGATGTGTTCTTACCTGGCTTGTACAACTCCAACATGAGGCCCTTCCGTTCCAATTCCCAACATCACAGCTACTTTTCCAACAAAGTTTTTCTGCAAATTAAATCTACGTTGGCCAATGTTGTAACTTCCATCAATGAGAAATGCTATATCAGCTTTACAGTCTGTGAACGTCCAAAATAATTAGATTTACTTATTACCAAGTAAATGTTAGGATTTTGCTTTGCAAAAGTTAAATGTGTGGGTTCCTACCTTTGTTTCCAGCCTTTTTATCAAGTGGCTTCTTAGGTCTTTTACCTTCAGTGGAGGAAACAGCATGGATCATTTAAGAACAAGATGATGAACAGCCAGAATTGAACCAGAAAAAGCTCAGACTCCAAGAATTACTTTGCAATCTATATGCAGTAAGAACTGTCAATCGGTTTAATTATTAAACTTGCACTACTACTGCTTTGCTCCTTAGAGAATATTCTTCAAATATTCAAATAGTTTAATATAGTTCAGAATAGTTCAAACGAAACAGTTTAACTTTCCTTTCTATACCTGCCTAACTGATTACTTGAAATGTAGATAGCTGGGTGGATTGCTGTAGCTCATCATCCCAAGTGCTACCATTTCTCAGTCAGCAATCTGCTGTACAGTGCAGTTTTAATGTTTTGGAAGCAAACTCAATCTGTAAAGAAAATGGTCTATTTACAAACAAATTCCAAGTCCAGTATTTACATAGCACTAACTTCCATAAAAACTGATCTATCCTTTTACTGGCAGCATTTTCTGTGGAGAAATCCCCATAACGTCTAAATTTTTTCTACGTAAGTCCTGACAGCACTCAGCTGAGTAGATCTGTAAGGAGGAATACATTATCTCTGGCTTCTCTGTCACTTAATAGGAATGAATATCCCAAGAGCTCATGATGTCTTTCCTTCCTTTATGTTATCTGTATTACTTTTCCAAATTCATTCAGATTTGTTTTCTTTTTTAAAAAATTTACATAAACACTACTGAAATCAGAATCAATCTGCTCAATTACAAATGAGTCCTCCCTTTGCGCATGGAAGACATACTGCAAAAACGGGTATTATATATGCTTTGTTCTTTAAAAAGAAATGAATCCTATGAAACATATCATTTTAGCCAGGGATTCATGCACTGCAGCACATCTTATCACAAGAGGCTTCCATTGTGGCAGAGACCTTGTACCTGTAGAAGGACGTGCTGTTGATGTTGATCTTCCAAGTGCTTCAAGAGCTGTGTTCTTGGTACCTTTTGGAAGAACAAGTTTACCATATTTTAGTGTATTTAGATGAAATTACAAGTGCTTGAAGAATACTGCATTTCCAATAACCTTTCTTCATCATCTGCCAATAGCTACTCTGGGAGTAGGACACAGGCCTAGACAGATCTTTGATGTAATCCAGTACTGTACTCCTTGTTTTACAGGTAATAAACTTCTCTTTTGAACTTCTGCATTGGAAACAATAGCAGCTGATTAGTAATTACAGCACATCTAATTGATGAGAAGTTTTGAGCTGTAGTAGCCATTATTTCTAGCAGACAAATTCAGGACTTGATTGGGGGAAGTAGACTTACACCCTGAACGAAAGCACCTGTAATCCCAAATTCTTAGCTATTGATTTGCAATGGACACTACACAGGGATTACTAGTAGCTTAGAGATAGTAGGCTGAATTTTAAGCTACGTAAACAATAAGAACACATTAGAAAGAACTGTTTCCCAAATTTGGAAAGAATATATCAGAAAACACATACACTTTAATATGAAACTGAAAACACAACAACATATATTAAGAAAGCAGTAGGCTGCTTTGCACATTTCTATGAGGGTGGTTTAACCTCACCCAAGTGGCAGAGCATGATAACTGGTTTAGCAATCGGGCACAGTATTTCAACTACGTGGACAAAAACTTCTGAAAAAAACACTATGTCACACTGTAGCTTAATGACCACATCACATCTAAGTTGACATTATTGCTATTTTTGGAGGGTCAGTGTTCCATTTGCAAGGAACGCTGCACAAGCTCTTTGAAGGGCCCAACAAGTACTACTGCCTGCACAAAGGCAGGCAGAGGCAGAGAAGGGATAAAACTACATGGCTGGAAGTGGTAGGTGAACAGGACTGCAATAGCAGGATCAAAGCACTGACTTAGATCAGCTTAAACTGTCCTGGAACTGCACTGTCAACTGCCTGCTATCATGTCATTGTATTCTAAATAACTGTAATCCATTTTTAGGTATTGGCTTCTGCTACAGACTAGCTAGTCTAGCTGGAATAGTATTTTAGGAAAATTGTGGAAAAACTAAGATAAAATAATGAGTTAAAAGTGAAAACTTTTGTTACTACACTTCAGATAGCAATCACTTTTTTTATGTGTACAAGACCACTAAAGTTTCCTAGAGTTCTGTTAACATTTCAAATACAGTTTGCAAAATAATAAGTGTGATCCACCTACGAGTCACTGAGAAAGACGAAGCCCATCTAGTGAGCACCTGAGACTGGATCCCGTTGGCATTTACAGCAGGGTAGTTTTCCTGTCCCGGGAGAGTCTGTACCCTTACAGCTCCTCCTGCATTGGTGATCACCCCCCTGAGATACAGAAAGAGTTGTTGTAAATCAGGCATTTTAATCGCAAGGAGATACAATACAATTATACCATTATTAGTACGTTGGACGCTAGCCTCCCGAAAAAGATGCCATATAGGCAGGCGGTTGTGTTCAGGCTAAAACAAGCTATAAATTGCTGGAAAGACTTTTAAAAGAAACTATTCTGCAGAGCATCACACAGACTTAGGAAAAAAAGGTCAGGAAATTCTAAAATTATGGCAGCATTCAGACTGACATAGAAGTGTGATGTTTCAAGGACATACCAATTCCTAAAGGAAAGAGCTCCAGCAAAATGTATTTGAGATCATTATGCCTCATGAATATTTGCAACTGGAACAAAATTTGGTATGCTTAGCTACAAAATGACCAAAGTTAAGAAAACTGGAAAGAAAAATCACTGCTTATAGTAGGAATGGATATATAGGATATCTTGTTATGCAGCTAGAGACTGAAGTCAGAAACAGTAGGCATTACTGACAGCAGCCATCAGATCACTGATAATTATAAGAACAGAGCCTAAAGCATCCGATTCTTCTTATTCACCTGTAGTAAATATTAAATGTGAAATCTGAAATGAATGAAATAACTAAATGCAAGTTACTAACTCAATCCATGTAAGATTCCAAATTGCTTTCAGTCTAGACTTGGAAATAGTGTATCAATGGTAGATGCAATTCACTGACAGAGATGTAGAATAACATACCAAACTGCAGCTTCAGAATTTGCAATACTTTGGTAATAGTTAACAAGTCATAGCTATCTTCATTAGTTTAGGCATTCTGCAATGCATCCTTAATATGCAGTTATAATGTATTAATTAAAAAAAAAAACACAGAACAAATAACAGGAAGTTTACTGACTAAAATATTTTGCAAAGTCATATTCAGTATTATAAGACTATTATACTCCTTAGTGCCTTACTAGAAGGGTCCGTTCAGAAATGTAGAAGTGACAAGAACACTTGTAGCAAAATCTACAGAGGAGGTTTTTCCAAAACTGAGACAAGAGTTGAACCTGTAACACCCAGACCCTAGACAAGTTTTTAGAGGTCATATTCTAGTTCTTAGAGAAGGCCACTGTCATTTTTCCCTTGTTGAGTTTCATTTCATGATTCAACAAACAGGCTTTGAGATTGTCTATCAGATCTGTCCTGTCATCTGAGACATTAAGGAATAGCTAGTTTGAAAATCTTGCTGATGTTTATGCACCAAGGATTGTGTGAATACCCAGTAGGGTGATAGATTTGTGCATTTAAGAAACTTCAGGATTAAAAACAGCCCAAAGAGAACTTCACTTTTTTTGGAGGCAGAGAGGCTGTTGTGGTTGTTTGCATTTGGATACCTCAAATGCCAGTAATAGGCATCAGAACTGTTCATATCTCTTTATGTGCTACTGAAAGAACAGTTATTTTTAGAGGCCAAAATTCAATGCTGAGCTTTTCTAAAGCTCATCAAATCTTGATGCTTTGTAGTACTTGGGTAGGTACAGTACTGTGGGAGACAAACCACCATTTCATATTTAAACACAGCAACGTGTGCCTTTGTTTATTTTTCTAATCTGTTTGGCTTCCTGCTTGAAAAGAAGTCCTGGCCTAATCTGATTTAAAACATTGCAAATGTAGAATAATCAAGACCAGAGTTTAGAAAACCTTGCATATATTTCTGGTAATATGAGCTCTGGGTGTCTGTGGCAAAGGCAGCTTCTGCATAAATCTCCTTATGGACTGCTATTAAAATACATTCCTCATTAAGGGACATGATTTACATTTTAAAATTGAAATGTGGTTATATCTATTTAATTCTTGCAGCTTAGAAAATGACAGTATCAAAACACACAGATATTTTTTCACCTAGGAACACTGTGTACAGTATATATACAGAGGAGCTTTAGTAAAGTTACCCTGAATGAGTTTAAAATCAGATTATAAAGTTGGCAAATACAAACAGCACTTTAAAGTTACTTTAAAAACAGAGAGAAAAATTAGACCAGAGCCTCTAATGGATCATTTTTAAATTACTGGAAAATTCAGTAAGGCAAAATTATCTTTGGGAAAAATAATACATTAATGTATTTAGAATATTTCAGTCTAATTAAAACGCAATTTTCTTCTCCAGAGAACTTGGCTCCCTTTGGCATTCAAGCCTTCAAAAGTGTCTCAGTCTTAATGGATAAGGAAATATGTGTCAGAAATAGAATATATACATTTAATTATAACAGTTTCTAGTTTAAGTTTCTGCTTGCAATTTTAGTCAAGCTACTTTTGGGCTTGCATCAGCAAACCCAATCTAAGCCCAAGTTAGCTCCTGAGGAGAGTTCAATATCTCTTCCCCCTTCTTTTGTTGTGGACTTGCAACTTTGAGCATTGGCTGAATTAAACTCAGGAACACATTCACACTGAAAGCTCAGCCTAAGATCTATTTCTAGGAACAATGATTCCTAGAAAGCTTGTTTTGGTCACAGTGTGACCAATCTTGTTTATATTGTTCCATTTTGTCTATTGGTCTTTTCATTTTGATTGCCATGTAATCATTCTGGGGGAAAAAAATAATCTAGATAGTATCTATTGACTTTGCAAGCTTTCCACTGAAACCAGAGTAGACTTATTTGCTCCTTATCTATTTATTGAAAACATTTGATTCTGTATTTCACCACAAGTCATAAAGCTCGACTGCCTTCTGAAGATACACTATTTCCATATGACAGCTCTGCTATTTTTAATGCAAGTGGGGGACTGATATTAGATATGAATATACCATGAACTATAGCTTTATGAAAGTTATTCCTCTTTTCTTGCCATTTTGTTCTGTAGGTAAATTAACAACGGTTTAAGCCATCTTTTACAATCTTATCAGTTTTACTTGGGATGTTTCTCCCAGCAAGTTTACTCAGAGTGCATGCTCATATATGCTGAAGTGGAATAAACTGTATTGTCAGTCTGCATTTCTATTCAGAAAGAGATCAAATTCCTATCTGCAGTCAATTACAATTTATTTTAAAAGTGAGATTCATCTGATGTAGATCTGCAGTGATTTTTCAATAGCAAAGATGTGCTTATGCATTTCCTCAGAATGTCAATCCGCTTTGATTTTCACCACTTTTTTGTGTTCTCAATTTCACACTGGTCAGCTTTTGAACTATGGTTTCTTTCTATGTTGGAGTGGTTGTGTTCTTTGTTCCTGAGAGATTGATTTGCATGCCATGGCTGTTTTGATTAAACTGGAAATCTGCAGATTTTCCAGGAACAGCTTTCACTTCCTTACTTACTATGTTTCATGCTACTGCCAGGGCTGCTTGGCAGCAACTTTATATAAAGCTATCAGTCCATTCTCTTGCCTAGCTTCACTGCTAATAAATCATAATTTATACCTAAATGGTATTTTTCACTCAAAAATGCACACAAATTAAACAGATGCCCAAGGAAGCAATCTAGTACCTCACTGCAAAATAGCTCATGGGAGGAAGTATAATGGCCAAGGGCAGCAGAAGATATGAGAAGGTTTTATGAAATATAGGAATTTCATCTAAAACCTACCTAAAACCTGAATTGAGGTAAACAAGCAGATGGGATGGAAGCTTTTTAGAGCCTCATGCACCTCCTCAAAGTAAAGTGCAAGAACTGTTTATCTTCCCTCTCAGACGACTACAGGGCTGGCTTGGCTTTGCTGAATTTTGAAGAAATTTGAATTTTTCAAGGAGCCTGCACATCAAAACTGATGCCTAGACCACAAAGAGACTCTTCCAGCCTTTGGAGGCAACCCTTATAGATGTAATTGCAGTCAGTAATCTTAGACACAGCAGTAGAAAGCTGAAATACCACCTCCTGTTAGAAGAACGAGAAAATACAAGATTTCCACCTTTTGAAAAAAATCTTGTTTCCTCTGGTAAATTTTCCATTGTTTCTTAGAATTTGTAATAGTTGTGACAGATTTGGCTGATAGAGCACTTTTTGTGGCATGCTTATAAGTTATTGACTTGTTTAAAAGTGTTGGAGATGAAGCCAAGTTGATTTCCTTAAATGGTCTTAATTCTAAGTGTAAGGTAAGGATCAGCTAGATAAAATTGTCTAAAGATAACAAAACATTGTCAGTGAAACAGATAAAGATTTTTCCCCTTGTTGTATAACAATGTTAAAGAGTGAAGAGAAATAGATTTGAACATAAGACTAAATGTTCTATTCCAAGGAAAGGTCCCAAGCCCAAGGGCAGCAAGGCAGCAACTGGGCTGTTAAATAAAGTACATACTGAGCAGATTTAGTCTTGCAATCCAGAAGCAAAATGTTTGCTCAGAAACTCCCATGGTATGTTTTTACGCTAATCATTATGCTCACCATATACATCTACAGGTAGGCTATCTGCTTTTTCAGCAGAAGGGAGAAAGCAGGAAGATAAAGGACTGCTATGCCACCCAAAAGCATAATTTTGACCTGAAAGTTCCTGTTCCCATTGCTAACAGAGTGCTGGCTGTGATAGCAGCTGGCATTTCCTATAGGGTCCTTGGATGAATACAATTATCCTCAGGAACTGAAGACAGCTGAATTACCTGAATTCCCATCTTTCCTTCTACTATAAGCAGCTGCATCAAACTCCTTCCACATCATCTGCCTTTCCCCATCACTCCAATGAGCGTCCTCCCCTTCTCCAAACTGCAGTCTCCTACTGCTGCCTTCGATCACTGATACGGAGCTGCCTGGGCTCATACCAGCACACTCTGGCCCACCCAAGGCTGTGTTCTTTGTCTCCCCTGCACCCCTATTGCTTTTGGCAGGAAAGAAGGCTCAGCAGCAGAAGCAGGCACTCTACTAAGATTTCCCAGGGGACCAACAGCTGCTCAGAAATCCCTCTGGCCAAACAGCCTTTTTGTCAATATTCTTCTAGCATACACTAGGGCATCTCAGGGGCCATCATCTGTGTTTGCAGTCACTTTGTGGCCAGCTTGGCAATACTGTGATATGCTTTTGTTACACTTGAGTTCTGGGACCCCGATGTTTAATTAGAAATGGTTCCACCCTGTGAATAGTTAGGAAGGTTACAAAAAAATTTACATGCCTATTTAGCATCTAAACACTACCACATTGGGCTAGCTCTCCATCTAGTGGAATTGGCACTAGAACAGAACCACAAACTGAGAACCTAGTCTTTCATTTGACCTTCTGATTATTAATCCAATTAATCACTCAGTAGTTGATTTAACTCTGTTCTTTATGGCTGCATAGCATCAGCCTGGTAGATCCATTCTTCCCCTGACAAATAAATCTTTTATTCTTCTGCCCAGACGAAGAACAATATTAAATAAATATTCTGCTTCCTGAGAGTAATTACACATAAAATAAGAGAAAAAGGAGAGAAAAAGCCAAATATAACAAACTAAAGCAGGCAGAAAGCTTATGCATCTGTAGTGTACAGAATTATTCATAGTAGAATTCTGCTAAGTTCTTTACATGCACTGTATAGTATTTTATTGTGTTAATAATTGCCTCACAGTAATGAATTACTCATAGGAATAAACATTATTTGGTTTATATGAAATTAAGGAATTGGGCCTCAATTTGGACCTGGCCCACAAAGAGTGTATGTGGAAGGTGGAACTGACCCACGCTCACACAATCATTTCCATTTAAAAAAAAATAAAATAGGCACTGGTCCCAAGGCTGGTGCTTCTTGAAACAGTAGACAGTTGTCTGACTGCACCTTATGTAAGATAACAGCAACAGTCATCGTGGCAGCACAGGCCTGGTACTCAACAGTGCTTAAGGTATAGAGCTGTGTTGCACTCACAGTCCAGTGTAATGTAGGGCATGCCTTGTCAACTAGATGTGGTTGTTTCAGTTATTTGGAAGAAATTTCCAAAATTCTCAAAGCAGGTATCTAGTTACATCATGGTAACAGCCAATTATGGTGATCAGCTATTGGCAATGTGTTCTTGGAGGTACTTTCACACCAATATGGAGCTTGGCCATTGCAACACAGAGCAAGGAGGAGCAAGTTTTTCTATGTATGTTATTGTTGGATTTTGTAGCCTACACTGAAATCAGCTGAGAACTAAACAGCCATCGCCTCTCTCCTCCATCCAGCAATCCTTTTTTTACCAGGACCAGTATTTATGGCTGCTAATGGTTGCAGCGAAACCAATGAAACATTCTCGTGTAACAAATTCTGTTCCAAGTTTGAAAGGCTGGCAGGACTAATGGCCCCAAACTTAAAGGTAGTCTCTAAAAAACAGCAGTTCTCCTAAAGAGAAGATTTTTTCACCAATAGTCTGCTTTTTCAAAACATTGTAGTACTACAATTTATCATATTAAGACAACTTTTCCAGTAAAGATGTACATTATCAGTGTTAGAGACAGATTAGAATAGTGGGTATATTTTAATTTCTTCATTGCTATTAGAGCCCTCTTTGTTCTCACAACGTCTGTGGAAACAGATTGTTAGATGCATGTTTTACAAACAGGGGTGCACATTTCACAGGAGGTATAATTTGGCTTGACACTGACTATGGAAAAAAATTGTATTTTTCCATGCTCCTATGCTTCTGGGCTGGAGAACAATAATATTCATAGGTACAGACTTCAGTGAAGACCTAAGTGGTATGTAAATGCCTGTGCTTTGTCTTAGGGGAAGACTACACAAATCTTGAAAAAATCCACTTATTTCTTGTACCTGTTTTGCAAAGGTGTTGATTTTTCCTGGTGCTGATCTGAAGATTATATTAAAAAGTCTAGATCATGTGAACATTTTTCAGCATTTTCAGTAGAACATTGAAATACTGGAAATATTAATATAAACAATCAGGAGTTAGTAAGAGATTCCACAAAGGTACAAGTCTGGAGGAAAACGGACCTTGAACCCTAGCTGCATGGGACTTGCTGGTTTCCTGCAGCTGGCACAGCACCAGCACCCAGCTGCAGGGGAACCAAGCCCCACCACTTTTCTTGGTGGGACTTCTCTAACCATCGGTCAGCACTGGGGTGGGAGGTTTAATATCACTGGCTAGTTGAACTGGCTAGGAACTTTTGCAACATTTCAAAACACTCAAGTCTTAAGCACCTTTGGAAAAAGATCTTGATAGCAAAAGCTTTTTTTTTCCCCCCCTTCTTTAAGTAAAGACATCTTTGGCAATCAGTACAGAAACAGAATGTTAAAAGTAAATGCCGGTGGTTGTCGGCTTAATATCACTGGCTAGGTGAACTGGCTAGGAACTTTTGCAACATTTCAAAACACTCAAGTCTTAAGCACCTTTGGAAAAAGATCTTGATAGCAAAAGCTTTTTTTTTTCCCCCCCTTCTTTAAGTTGGCAATCAGTACAGAAACAGAATGTTAAAAGTAAATGCCTACATCACTAAATACCAACATTGTCTTAGAAAAGAGACAACAGGAAGAAAATCTCAGTTTTCCTATATAATCTTTTTTTAAAAAAACCAGGAAGACATTTGATCCAGACATTCTTTCACAAACTTTTTGTATATACTTAAACTAGCAAAAGTGAAGAACTAAAATTTAACTTCTCTTTTTAAACATTCATGAAGACATTTAAAGCACAGTGAATGGAGACATTCATTCTTTTCACAGAAGGATCGAAAGGAAGCCTGTTCTAGCAATAAAACACACATGGAGACATAGAATTATCTTTGAAACTAACTCTTAAGCTTTAAAAACAAATACACACAGACCTCCACAATACCTCCCAAGTTCCTTCTAGCTGTCCTTGTAGTAACCCTGATAGCAGAGTTCAGCATCACATCAATATATTCTGAAAGAGTTTCTTTCTGTTGCTTGGGAATAAGAAGAGATTGAAACTATTCCTCTATTTCTTTTAAACACTTTGTTTTGCTTAAGCTTTTAAGAATAGTTGCAGGTTTTCTGCAAAGGGAGCAGTAGTCTTATCAGGAATACACAAATATAATAAGATGGTGTGATTTTTTGGTTTCAACTGTAGTTTATGTATACGTTAACATCAATGTACCTAGAAGTTATATAAAACTAGTTTTAAGTTCCGTGATTCTTGAAGGGATTCTGGATAACTTCTGTAATCCACAAATGCTAATGAAATCTCATTTATAGGAATAGGACATTAAAAAAGTCTCTGTAATATAGTATGATACCTCAATATAATGATTTGTTTCAAGAGTACCTCTTGAAACCCAAGTAATTTAGATTATATGCATGATGAAGACTTACTTCTAAATATATTCATAATATTTAATTATAGAATTCTCAGAAATTAAATAGGAAAAATTTGGGCAGGATGATCTAGTCTGTACTTTTGCTTCAAGATAGGATCTATTAATTACCTAGTTATTCTAGACAGATGTCCCTATTTTTGGAAACTATTGCAGTTCCTGTGATATCCCAATCCATCCACTCTGTCCTTATTGTTAGACTTCATATCTAATCCAAATTTCTGTTGCTGAAATGTTAGTCCTATCTTAAGGATCATAACACCTTACGAAGTTTCAAATCTACTTTTTGATAGGAAACAGTGTGAAAAGGTCTAAGTGAACAAGTATCATGTCATACAACCAGTTAATAGATGAAGCTAAAAGTCCTCCTTTAATGACCAAAAGCTTTCTCAAAGTATTAAAATCAAAGCCTGAAACTCCCTGTAGACTGACAATCAGGAATCAGTCTGGCTTCCACAGGCATCTGAAATAGATATCTCACTGTCTCCAGTCAGTTTTATCCAACATTTCCTTATTAAAAATTGATCCAAGAAAGAATTTAAGTTGCAAATAAGTAATTAAATCTTTGTCCTTCCTTAAAAAAAAAAATCAGATAGCCTCAATAAGATTTCTGCCAGCCCATTTCCCTTCCCCTCTGGAATTACTATTACTTCTCTAATGATATATTTAACATGGGCTATCTGGATATTTTTCTTAGTCTTTAGTTATCCATTTGACACAGGAGTGAATTCAGCTAGATACTGGTCTAATTAAGAGACATTAAGTAGACTAACACCCAGCAAGCAACCATCAGAAGAGAAATGCTATAACAAAAAATAACACTGATTAACAGTAATAGTCTATGGACCACATTCAGCCAAATCATGGGCAGGTCTGTTTGCATAGGAGCTTAAACTGATTTCAACAAATTCAGAAAAAGCATCATGTAAAGGAAAGTCAGAAAGTAAATCTGCTTTTTTTTTCCAGTTAGTTACTATTTGCACAGTATCCTTCAATGTCTACCAGTGACGCATAAGCAATCTTACAGTGAAAGTCCATCTGCTGCTGTGCCATTTCAGAGAAAGTTAAAGTGATTTTCAGGAACACTTAAGCACAACTCTCATAACTTTTAAGCCACCCAGGCATTCTTTTCTTCCTTGTTTTCCCTTCTCCTAATGACACTCCTATTGAGTTAGTATGTCTCCCAAAATCCAGAAAGATTTTTATTATGATGGCATCAAAAGGTTAAAATTTAAAAGTGTGGCAAGGCTATGTAAATTTACTTAACACATTGATTAGCAATCATCTGACTGACCTGTGTATTGCTGCTCCACAGATACTGGAAAGAGAGGCATAAACTCCATCCCCAAAGACATAAAATTGCCATAGAGGACAGTTTGCTGGGCAAAGGACATCTTCTGTCTCTTTTCTAAGGTCAAGTCCTCTTGTAAAGCATGTGATAGCAGTGGAAGCTAAAGAAAAAAAAGAAGAACCTGTGACCTGAAATATCTCAAGGGTTTGTTGGGGTTTTTTTAATCTCTCTACAGTTTCCAAGTTTAAAACAGCATTTGACTTTGAAATCAGGTATAGCGTCTCATCTTATGCTCCAGTACATCTGTAAAGACAAGAGCTTGCAAATGTACAGACAAGGAAGAACACACTTAAGATATTTGTGGGAAAGCAGTGGCAGAAAAAGATAAAAAAATATGAGCAAACACTAAAACAACATTAAAATAATATCCAAGGAATACTACAGAGGGAAAAACAATTCACATCTGTAAGTTTACTGCAGAGACAGAATGGCAAGGGGAAGACCTTCACAGGCTGGTGGAATACAGGAGTGGGCTGCACTCTCCAAGGGAGAAATTAAATGACTGACGTTCCCACAGCAATCCCCAGCCATGGGACATCTATGAATCACTTGGGAAACTCTGAACCTTCGCTCCAGTGGCATTCATGAAGCAGATTGACAGCAGCATTTCCCTTAGCCTCTGCAGTAAGTTCTACTGAGGCCAGTGTAAACAAAAAAAGAAAAACGAGTACTCATCTGCTTGGTCCAGTAACATAGTAACATCTAGAACATTCCTATCAATTCATTGCAACGAAGTTTACATCATTATCATTGTGCAAAGGAGTGTCAGATTCACCCAGCAAGACAGAAGTTATTTATTCAGCTGCGGCACATGCATTTTTCACATAGAACTCTGCCTTTTTTTTCCCTTAAGAGTTGCTCCTCAGATTACCATTATTAAGCTTTCACTGCTTGTGTGTGCAACATAGGTATGCAGACACAGATTTACACCAGTATACGATTTTGCTTGGCACATTAATGCTTTTTCTTTTGAAAACTTAGATGTCATTATCTTGGATACTTACTACCATCCTTTTACTACACAGAACAGCACATTCAGCTGGTCTGATACCACAGCAAACTAGGGGTTTGTTTTAGGTAAATATCAATTCAGCATCATAAGTTCAACGCAGGACTAGCTATTCATTCTGAACTTCCTAAGGGCACATCTTGCCCTCGCTGAGCACTAGAAGGTGCAAGAATCTTTTCTATGTGCACTCAGAGGATTACTTTTTCCACAGTATTAAGATGAGAGCTGATAGAGGCTGGCCAATGAAGCAGTGCATACACTGCAGCATTACATCCCAAGGAGAGTATGTTTAGGGGATCAGTGATCTGTTTCTCACCTTCTTCCCCATTCACTCTTACCCTAGGGTGCTTACTGACCCTAACATAAGCCACTGTTATTTGAAATTATTTGGAGCATGCACTGTTTCTCATCAGCAGGTGCAAAAGATCATACCTCCTGCTAATCTCACTGACTTTAGAGCTGAAAAGCAGAACAGTTACAGCCAGAGGAACACAAGGAAGCATGTCTTCATTCTGGCTGCATAAATCACACACACGTTCACAGACCATGCACATAGCTTTACTTTCAAGTATATGTAATCCTCATTAATGCTATACTGAAATTACGTTAAACTACCTAGTCACATCTTCCTGAAAAAGCTTTTTTGTCAGCATAAAAATGTGACTTAAATATGCTAAATATGTCTATATAGTTCAGAGTAAGAAAAAAAGCAGTAAATACTTATCTTGAGAAAGGAAAAAAGGAAAGCTTTCTACCTAGCAAGACACTGTAAAGCTATTCAATCTGATTCTCAAGTACCTTAAGAAATAAAGAAGTTTCTTGTAGGATTTACAGTCTTACCTAAACACATACTCTCTATGTTTAGTCTTACATTTGCCTTAAAAATGAAAGTCTGAAAAACCAAGCAGAATGCCCATTTTTATACCTAGAAGATCCGTATTTTCATGGTTAAAGGTGCTATATTACTGGTGTTAGCTAAAAGAAGTCGATTCACTTTACTGTTTGAGTCCCCTAATCCTTTCATGAAAGTTCTACAAATGTGTTAGGCAATTACTGGGCACTAATCAAATAATATCCGCCAAATGGCAACTAGCAAGACCATCAGAATCAAACAGCAGCTGGTAGGCTGGATGTCCTTGGAGGAATCACTGCAATGAGCACCACTGGTAATCTCTGCTCACAGTACTGCTTGTGCCATACACCCCGCAACATTCTTCTAGCCCCTAAAAGTGCAAGGCACCACAGGAAGTTTTAATACCTGTCATTTCTAATGTACTGTACTTGACTGTATGCACAGCCTGCCAAGGAATTCAAAGTCAATAATTAGACATGTCTAGTTAACAAACCCTTTATCACTTGGAGATCTGAATTTCCCTCACTACCAGGTACTTGCTAATTACAGTCATATGTCAGACTAACATTTTACATAGCACAGAAGATGAACAGGGAGGAGGGGAAAAAAAAAATCTTGCTGTGTTTTTGCTGGCTATGAAAACACAGAAGTCCACTGTAGCCCAGACATGGAATTTTTATGTACTGGCAGTCTAAATACTGTCATGATCCTTGTCTACACCATGAGACGGGGGGCTTCTGAGGGAAGGGAGCCACTTGCTGCTGTGTGAACTCTCCAGCTGACGTTCTCTAGCTAGGGGCTCTAGCAGTTCATATCTCAGCTGGATTAGCACAGAATTACATGATGCTGTTAATTAAAAAGCAACAATTTCATTTTGGTTTTCTATGTAGGTAGGTACAGTTTTCTTCAAGTTGTAATTCTACAGCTGAGACTAACATTAGGAATGTTGGGTGCAGTATCAAAATGAGATGTATTGGGTATCAAAATTAAGACTTAGAATATCAAATCTGCAGCAGATTTTGGTCTTCCCTGTTAATGTATCATCAGCTATCTAACCCATAAAATTACAAGTAGTCCATTGTGAACAGGCAAATGTATTAATCAGGTCTGAATACTAGGTAATATAGAATAGTTCTTCACCAGCTTACATACTAATCATTCTCCCAAATTTCATATGCAATATTACTATTAAAATTCAAGGTGGTTGTTTTTGTTAGTTTATCCAAGATACTTCATCATAGCAGAAACCACCAAATATATATACACACACACATAAAAAGAAACTGAGATAAAACCCATGTGTTTTAATCACTGTAATTTAAGAATGCAAGAGCAGTAGCAGTTGAGGCATTTCTCCAGATACTTATGTGATCCAATAGTCTAAATCCACATATTTTGGAATAAGTGAAAGATAAGCTTGTAATTTATAGGAAAGTACGCAGTCCTAGACTCCTACCCATTCTGGACTCTGATGAAGACTAGAGACCTGCATTATGTGACACAAAATTAGGCCTTCAGAACTGTAATAAAATGACCATCATCCCATTCTGTCAAGACACACACACTCTTTAAAGTCTCACAGAAACACACTACACCAGGGTACACCATAAAAAATAGTACAAAGAAAATAAACTGTATTTCTTCCTGATTTAAGCCATATTTAAAGGTAAGGATGAATGTCTTCCATCACTGTTGACCTAAAAAAGAAAAAAGCACAAAGGCTCACTTCTCCCCTAAAAGATCCATCCAATAACCATATTTTCAACCATTCCCTCAGCTTTCATCTTTTTGGTGCCTCATCCCATGTATTCTGATTTGCCCTGAATAGCTGTTTCTTATGCCCACCTATAAAAGCCCTCACTTAATTTTTGACAGGAGTAACTAATTTAAAAGACTCCAGAAAAATAAAATTCATAGCCAAAATCTGAGCTTTTCTAATCTTGAAGTTTCCATGCACTGATTTGGGAAAGCAGAGTTTCTGTAAAGGAAAAAAAAAAATCCCTGTGTACATTATTACAAAAAACCCCAGGGATTCCCAAGAGTAAGATAGCTTTACAAGTCATAAAATAGGGAAGTACATCCCTATTGCCCTTCTTATTCCCAGTATTATTTAGTATTTTTTCTTTGCAAAACAGGAAAATTTGAAGTCTTTTTATCTTAGGGATTCAAGCAAGCCTGCTTTTTATATGTCATGCAAGGAATACTCCCCAAAACCTTACCCATACTAGAAAAAAGACATACTAGTAGAAATATGCCTGTTCATATTTTGGAAAACATGTTCACAGATTGCATACTACTTCATGTAATCTTAAGCACATATCTTGATCCAGACAAGAGCAATGGGACTTAAAAAAAAATCTGGTCAGGGTTATAACATTCATTTCAATCTGAGACTTGCCCTTTCCTGATCAACTTAAGGCCACTTACCATCACACGCCAATGGTCACCCACCCATATAGTCTTGCATACAGTAACTGGAACTGTTGAAATCAGCAGTTATTTGTATGTATTTCGGGGGAGTACAAGGAAAGGTATAATTTTAGATCTCCCCAAGTACTTATGAGCCTAAATACAGTAGATTTTTGAGAAAACTAATGTTCTTTCGTTACTTTGAACAACAGAATTTAAGCACTTTTTATAAAAAAGTTCCTGTAAGTTTCTAGTTAAATAACCAAATACTGCTGAATTTAGGCTCAAAATAATGGTAAGAGAACACCTTACAGTAAGAGTTCACATTTTATATTACAAACACATCCTGGTACCAATATTCCATCATGCCAATATTCCCTTAATGTTATTTTAGTTGGGTCCAGATTACAGAGGCTTCTTCTCCAACCCTGGGAGGAAGCACTGAAGAAAAATTTTCACTTGTTTCCTGACAGACTTTCGGCACTTCATCCGTAGTGCACCTGTAAAATAAAAAGGAAAGGCATTGGGGTTGGAGTAGGTTTTCTATTGCTGTACATTTTTCCCTTTTTTAGCCATAACACTCCTGTGACATATAGCTGTTACCAGTTTAGCACAAAAGAATTTTCCAGGTGTTTGAGTGAACACAAGATGAGCAGCAAAGCCTACTCTTCAATGACTGTGAAATCCCGAAGAACTGTTCAGAAAACGGCTCGAGATCACTCACCTTCCTCAGGCCAAGCCTGCGTCCGGAAGCGCATCCTTCTGGAGGCTCCTGCCCTCCCCTTGGTGAAAGGCTCCACTGGAAGGGGCAGACAAACCGTTTGCGGCCTTCTGGCGAATTAGGTCTTTAACTGCTTCCCATGACTCCTGGGTCCCGTGATCGGCTCCAGGAAAGCCCGCTCTCCAGCAGCGAGGACGCAGTCCAGTGGGGCAGGGAGCAACGAGCAGCCCCTGCCCTGCGTGTTCAGTATGTTCTTTTGCTTTCCAGGTCAAAAGAATAGCAAGGCAGGTTTAAAAAGTTTTTAATCGATTCCACGGTCAGAGATATGTCATAGATCCTCAAATTGCCAAGCACTGAGCCAAGTGCCTTCGTAACACACGACCATAACAGCCCCTCCCTCTGCCTTGCTCTCAGCACTCCCCTCGACGGGGACGCTTGTCACGACTGCTCTTCTCCAGCCTGTGCCGAGGCGAGTTCCACCCCCGCTCGGTAGCGCTCCCAGTCATCCACCGTGCCCTGTCCCGACACCGCCTCCCGAGGGGCCGGACA